CACTCTTCCAGGGTATTTCCTAAACCCACCTTTTGAAAGACTTGACTGATCCTTTGGAGATCCTCACACATAGTTTCCATTTTTGCAGTCAGTTTATCATTTTTCAGTTTTCAAATGACGTATTTGAGCCTCATTCTTCAACATATATTCTTCCTTCTGGATGTCTCCACTGATACTCTTACCTTTGAATACCTTTGGTATCAATATGCTAGGATAATCAGTGACCAAACTAGGTCGATCTTTTACCTCGTACTCTAAAATTCCATACTCCAAGAGAAGTTTGACTCGATGTTTGAAAGTAGTGCAATTCTCAATAAAATATCCTTGAATTATGACATGATATTCACAACAAACATTAACATCATACCAATTTGGATAAGGAGGTTTCTAAGCTTTCACATAACGCAGAGCTACTTCTCCCACTTCTAGTAGATGCTCATACAACTCCTTATATGATATAGGGATATTATTAAAATGAGAATCTTCTTTCGTCTTAGATTGATCCTGAGTTTTAAAGTTTCTGATTACATGGTTTCTTTTTATCTCTGGGAACTTTTATAATTATCACTATTTCATTGGGTCTCCTGGCAAATTGTTGGTGCGAATGGTGACTGTGCATAATTTCTCAAATTGGTTAGGATCATAAGTCCCTTGTATATATGAGATTGCATGATTAGGTTCATTGAGTTCTCTCTCTTTTTGTGCAGGAGTCTCTTTTCCATTGGTCAAAATAGATATTCTATCCATCATCTTGGACATTTTCTCTTTTATCCCTCGTATCTCCTTTTGTTCTTCAACGGACATACAATCTTTGGGTACATAGCTCTCTTCTGTCCTCAGAGTTCCCTCAAGATGCCCTTCCTTGGCTGTGTTATAGTTTACTCGATCATGAAACCCTTTGTCCATAATAAAAATCTTTAATTTGATGATCACTCTCGAATCAACACCTTTTAATCATGTCATGATCATGCAATACAAACAAAAGAAATTAATATAAACAAGCTAGAGCAAAATGATTTTACATAATAGAAGAAAAAATGGTTAGTATCATTTCATGGAAAGAAAATATCATATATATCCTAACCTCATGCTTTCTAGTTCCATTCTTTATTTGGAAAAAATAAACCTAACCGCATGATTTCTAGTTCGTATGCATTTATTTAGGAAAATAGGTAAATTAAAAAAACTCAACATGTTTTTCCTTGTGTGCTAAGCTTACAAGACTTATTTGGGTTAGGATTCACCTAGACTCAACTTCTAGGTTTATTATATGCTGAGTTTTGGCTCTAAGGTAAAAAGGTCAACGAATTGTCCTTTGTTGGTGTCCCCTTAGACTACCAAGCCCTCAATCTTGGTCCATTACAAACTTTCGGATTGAGTTCAATTCAAAGGAACACAGTTTCTTATGTCCATACGGAGGTGAAAACCACATGAAGAACATAAGGTGTGAGATAAAGGAATGGTCCCCTATCCCATACGGAGGTGAAAACCACACGAGGGAGTAGTTTCTCATTTAAGCTAAATAGGATAAGAGCGGGGTTTTAGCTCATGTCATGAATGCAGTGTTCAATATGTGAAGAAAATCATAAAAATAATAATGTACACCATGCAAATTTATTCTAAAGACCCGTAATTAAATCTGAAAACATAAAAAAAGTTAGAACAACTATTTATACAGAAAATGTTTATTAAAATAATCAAGGAATTAAAACAAAATTAAAACAAATTTATAATTTTATTGCAAAGACAATTAATTAATAAACTAATGGCTTGACTCTCTTTAAAAAATGTCCCCAGTGGAGTCGCCAAGTTGTCAAGACGTTATTTGCCTGGCGACAAAGACAAACAAAAGTTTACACATATAAGTGTAATTATCTCGAGAAAATATAAGTGTTTTTCTTCTTTGAATCAGATAAAACAAAAATTTGAGGAGTCGCCACCAATCATTTATTGAGGTTTGATTGGTCACCAAAATGTTATGTTAATAAAATTCATGAGAATAATATTAAAATAACACAACAAGGGTCTGCTTACCAGAGAATGAGTTCGAGAGTCAGTTACGTGTATGGAAGGATTAGCACCCCCTACAACACCCAAAATTGGTACCTTGGGTTATTAATTAATGTCTTTGCAGTAAAATTTATAAATTTGTATTAATTTTAATTTATGATCCCATAAGAATACATTAGGAATATTATTTTATACCAATAATCATTTAAAAATATATTCCTAATAAGTTAAGGAAATATTTTTATGACTTATCGTATAAAATAAAATAACCATATTATAAATAATAATTTTAATGATTAAAACATGAAAATATCAAAATTCTAGGTTATTATTACATAATATCTTATATATGAGGTACTAAAAGTATAATTCAAATAATAATAATATTAAAAATTAAAGATATTAAAGTTTGGTGTTTAAATTGCAAAATAACAAAAATAATGGGCCTAATTTAAAATATTACAAAAGTTAGGTACCATTAGCGTAAATAAACCTATAATAATAATAATTAGGGATTAAAATATAAATAATTAAAATACTATTGACTAAATATGCTATTCTATCTAAAATATATAAATATATAGATATGGACAAAAATATAAGTAAATAAATTAAAAGACTGAATTAAAACGCGTAAAACTTGTCTCCGTGACCAAAATAGAAGTCTTACAAAGTGCAAGGACCACGAGTGTAATTTACCCATTCTCAAAATTACACGAACACCCTTCCCCAAAATGACGCCGTTCGGGGAGGGTATAAATAGCCCAAGACCGGCCCCTTAATGGCCATTTCCATCATTTCCTCTTTTTTCCTTCTCTTTCTAAATGATATAATCCTCTCGATTCTCTCTAAGAGCCCTCATCGGAGGATACCAACCACCGTCCGGACGTCGATTGTCGGTGTTCTCTGCTGTTGCCGGCCATTGTGGAAAATACCCCCAAATTTTCCTATTTCGAATCTAAGGCCGAATATGGCCTTCCCTTGTTCTAATATCCCTTAGATTGCCCTAGATCTGAGAAAACCGAAGATTTTACCTTCAATTACACGGCGGTTCTGACGACGTTCGACTCCCCGATAGTAAGTTCTTCTTTCCTTTCCTTTTTGCTTTCGAATATTCTGTTGTGGTTCGTTGTTTTGATTGCTCTATTTTCTGTTCTTGCTTGCATTTCTACCGTTCGTCTCTTGTCTCTCGTTTCTTGTTTGTGTTATTGTTGTGTGCTTGTTCTTTTGTAGGTTCGGTGGCCTTTTATAGGCCACTATAGTGCTTCCTTCGGACCGGTCACAAGGGTGCCCTTCGGTGAGTCACCGAAGATATGGTGGTGACTCACCCTAGAGTTGCAACGTGTGCGGCTCTCCTGGTGTCTCTGGAATCTTCTAGCGAGGCGGCAGCATCGTGGCAGCAACTGGAGTGGACCATCTGGAGGCGGTGACCAAACATAGCCCTAGGGTTATGATACCATAGGGTTTCTTCTAGAAGAAATCTGGAGCGTTTGTATCTCTCCAGATCTAACGGCTGAGATCATTGGCGGCTGTTGGAGAAAATGATGAAACCCTAGATACATTAGGGCTCCTAGGGTTGGACTGGTTCTGGGCCTAAATCGGGTGTGGGCCTCCAGGGTTGGATCTCCTGGAATTGGGTTGTAATAATAATAATATTAATATAATAATAATAGTAATATAATAATAATATTATTATTATATAGTATCAGATGAAAATGACTGTCGACAGCTACTATTGAGTCGGGTCAAGTCTTCTTTAAGTCTTGTAATTGGACTCCAGTCGGGTTTGTAGTTGTAACCGGGTCGGATCTTGGGGGGCCAAACTAGGTGGGCTTGGATACTGGGTCACTTGTTGGCTTCGGGTTGGGCATACATTGTTTCTTTGTAATTTGGACCATATGTAATATGAAAATACTAATAATATTATAATTAACAATAATAATAATAATAAATTATTAATAATAATAACGATAATAATCATGAACAAACAAAATGTAACCCGGACAAAAATGGGTGTATATACTTAATATGTCGCGCACTTGTGAGTACAATCATACTTGCCAGGTGTGTCAATTGGGAAAACAAATTGGGCTGCCATTTCTTTTTGAAAGTGAGTAACAGAACATCTAGAAACCACAGTTAGTACACATGGGTGTTTATGGAAATAGATACTTTGTTTATAAATGGTCACACCAGATTTTGTTGGGTTTATCTTCATAAAATGAAGTTTGTGTTCTTCTTTTGGAAATTCAAGGCATACTTTTTAGACGAACAGTGACTTACATGACGAGGCAGGTAAGAGGAATCTGTAACTTTTTACCTTTTAATCATATGTTTTGTGTGATTTTCAACATTTTTTTGAAAATACCATGATCTTCAATCCGCAATCACATAATCTAACTGGTTCACGTTATTCTAGACCTTTAGACAGTTCAACCATTCTGATAATTCCACTTATAAATCGGGTGTTTTATCGATTTATTTATATCCTATATATGCATGTTCATAAGTTCAATTAATTTCTATAATAATAAGTAAAGAAAAACATGATGAAATAAGATTAAATCTGTCTTTAGCCAGGTATGATTGTTCATCTCCATATATTAAATGACTCGCTTAATCAAGGGCTAAAATCTCCGTCAATAAATATTTTGTTTATATAAATATGATTCGCTATGTCAAATGATTCAAACTGTGATTTGATTTTTCAGTATAATTTGCTTTGAATGAAATCTCTTTTATGATTGAATAATCCGAAATATACGTTTTATTTTGCTAAACGCAAAACTATGTTTTGAGCGCATCAAAAATGCTTACGAATTAGTTCCCCTGCACCAAATGTTGGCATTGGCCACGTACAATACTAAAAATGTAAGTTCAAATGAACAAATCTAGGGGCAATCTTTCTTGTCGGTTTTCTCATTAGTTTCCTCGTTCATTCCCTCAACGGTTTTCTCGCTGGTTCCATCGTCAGTTTCTTTGTCGGTTTCCTAGACAGTTCCCTCGCCGGTTTCCTCATTGGTTCTCTTAATAGTTTCCTTGCCGGTTCCCTCAACGGTTTCCCCGTTGTTTCCCTCGCCGGTCCCTTCGTTGGTTTCCTCTTTGGTTCCCTTGCCGGTTTTCTCTTTGGTTCCCTCATTGGTTCCCTTTTCGGTTTCCTTATCAGTTTTCTCATTGTTTCCCTCGCCGGTTTCTTCGTCGGTTCCCCAGTCGGTTTCCACGTCAGTTTCGGCATTGGTTCCCTGGTTGGTTGGGTCACTGGTTCCCGCATTGGTTCGCTGGCTGGTTTCCTCAGCTGGCCATGCGTCACTATAACGCAACTGGGTTCCATCGTAAAAAAAATGTCTTGGTGACCGGCTCGACTTTGTCAACATTAAGCAACCAAGATCCATTCCAATACACCAACCGATCCCTGCAACCGCCATTTTCATTCAGAAACCAACTTTCTAATTTCCGAATATGATTCCACTCTTTGAAAAGAGAAACAACTTACGTATAAAATAAAACCTTTCTTTTCAATGGAAAGGGCGAGGCGCAGGACGATCATTATCACCAACCACAATCTGAACTCAGTAAGTACAAAAAACGCACTCAGATTATATTTGATCAACCAAAAAAAAAAAGAGAGAGACTAAAAAAGAGGCATCAAAAGAACTTACAAATTTCTCTCCAATGTGTTTGTTGCAATCTTTGCAACTGACATTGTTGACTGGCAATTCATGCATTATCGACCGATGAATAGTTTTATCGGTTCTCACGTCAAAACTATATACCAAAGAAACAAAAATATCAGATTACATAATGAAATGTAGATTGCGTGATTGAGCTACAACTTACCAAATGTCGCAAAGAAGTCCATTCAACGTCTTTTTCTTTTCCACAAAAATTAACTTATCCCAACGAAGAAGACGATCAAGAATGGAAGTTACATTAATAAAAGAAAAATATTTATTGGGATATATATATATTATAAGAGAGAGAAAGAGTTTATACAATTCCAAGGCAGTTGGCGGGGTTGAAGACGGGGGTTTTGCAACGACGGCACAAGAAGTAACGAGTTTCAGCATTCAGATGATATGACAAGAGTTTGGGTTTGAAGGCTTCGCCATTGCAATGGAAGAAACGATCTTCTTTGATTGTTTCAGCTGAGTACATGAATGATGAAACACCCAAAGATGAAAATTTCAGAGGTTTCTTGATTCTTACTTCTTAACAATTTGTATTTTCTGAATGGGATTTACGCTTCTTTGAAGAAGAAATGGGAATGAATGAGCTTTATGTAAAGAGAATGAAAGCAGATAGCTTCTTTGTAATATCTCAAATATCGGGTCAATGATTAAAAGGTAAGGAAATTAAAAGTTGGTAGTATAATTTAGAATAAGTGATAAGTTTAAGGACGAATGATTGGATGTTTTGTGTTAGGAGTTATTTGCAAAGAAGGAAAAGAAGAAGGGCATGATGGTCTTTTTCAACACATGAATTTTATATTCATTTCATTTAAGATATTTAAGTGGATAAGGAAGAGAAATATTGGATAAAAAAACTTAGTTTATTTCCTTCTTCTTCTCTTTGTTCGTGCTCCCTTGGGAGATAAGGTAAGTTTCTTCTAAATTGTTAATTTCTTTAAATTATGGCTTTATATTGAAGCTATTTGAAGTAGGGAAGACTAAGGAAGCTTGGAAATGAAGGAAAACAAAGTTAATAAGAAGTTATTAGGGAAGGAATGATTTGGGTTTGGAAGTGAAAATTTGTAAATGAGTTGATTAGTGAATTCTAAGGGTAGAATTGACTTGCTAAGGTCATAACTAAGAGAATTGAAGTTTTGGAAATAAATTATACCATGTTTGATGAAATGATATGATTTTTAGTTCAAGGATGTTAGTGAGAAATTTGGAAGTTCTAAGAGGATTAACGAAGATAAATGATTAGTATAAGTATTAGTTCGTTTGAGGAGATGATTAGAGTTAAAAATAAAGGATGTAGGGGATTTTCGGGGTTAAATTTGAAATGGAAGAAATGAAAATCTGGGCAAGGGTATCGGTACCCCAAGAACAATACCGATACTTAAAGGCTTAAATAAGTGAAAATGAAGAATGGGTATCGGTACTGATTGCTAGAGTAGCGACACTGTAGGGGGCAAGTATCGATACCCATGGAAGGGTATCGATACCACTTTAAAGAGGAGAATTACAGAATGCAATATACAGGTATCAATACCAACCAAGGGAAGTATCGGTACCCTTGAGGTAGTACATGTATCGATACCAACCAAGGGAAGTATCGGTACCCTTGAGGTAGTATCGATACTACTAAGTATGAAAATATAGATTTTGAGTTTCTTGTTAATTAAGTCTTATGATTAAGGATAAGTGATTCGATACTTATTTTGATTATTTTCTGTAGACTGGGATCAAAATCAACGTTCGGACGATTCAATTTTACAAGTTTCGAAAATAAGAGTAAATGATCTTAGTGAGACAAAGGTGAGTGCAATCAAAATTGTTTTATATTGGACTTGAGGATGGCTTGCGATAAGCCAACTTCAAAGTTTTCGATCGAAAACCAATTTCATTTCTTTTATGCAATATGTTATGATATTATTCAATTATATGTCCAAGTAATTTTTGTGATCTATTGTTTTAAACATGAACATGTGATTGAGATTTCGAAATGCTTACGTGTAAATTGTCTACGAGAATGATACAAATGCACATAAGACACACTTTAAATGATGGAACTTAATATAATAATAAGTGAAAGCCCAAATTATATATGTGAGAATTAGGGGTATAGTTGACATACCAAGAGTCGAGGGTTCTACGCGGTCCTACGGGACAATTTATATGATCGTTCGAGATATTCCTACGTGGTCCTTAGGGACAACTTCTACGTGGTCCTTCGGGACAAACTCTACGTGGCAGTTTGGTGCAAATTATATGAGCTATGGTGACAATAATTGTGCACAACCTCAAATTACTCAGATATCCTAGATTCTCAATGTTATACTTTGGGCTAAGTGAATAAAGTTATAAGCTTAATAAATAATAAGCTATTAAAGTTTAAGGAATCTAAAGTTCATTCAATTAGAAAATTTTTGTTATGAAGTTGAAAAGATTTTTTAAATGTTTTATGTTACTTATTGACTCACTAAGTCAAAGACTTAGCGTGTGGACTGTTTTCCCATGTAGGTTCTAAAAGATCCGAAGAGTGAAAGTTAGGCGGGAACAACAGAAGCAGTGAAGATCAAATCAGAATCATTTGTGATAGTAGCTTATTACATTTTGTTTATTTTTTTGGCAAATATTCCTACTTTAAATGAGAATGCTCTGATCAATTTTGTTTTGTTTTTCTTTTCTTTTGTATATATATATATATATATATATATATATTTTGTAATGTTTATGTAACAGATGTATGATACTTTTGCAGTTTAAATTTAAAATTTGTATCTTTTATCTTTTGTAAAAATGTATATTGCTCAAAAGAATATATTATTCTCAATTATTTGTTTAAAACTCAAAGATTTGAAAAGTCAATGTAGCATTTTAAATTAATATTTGGGTCAAATATAGGTTGGGGTGTTACATTTATTGGTATCAGAGCTATGTTTTAATTGATTTTAAGATCGAAATGAAGTAGTTTTGTTTTAAAATAGGATACATGCCAATTACAAGAAGAATTTTCTGATATGATAGGGTCATTATTATGTTGTCCTCACTAATAGAATAATAATTTTCTCCTAATAGATGTCGGATTTAGAAGGCTCCCGAAGTGAGGCGGGAGAAGGTCAAGAGGGAAGTAGTAATTTGCCTGCCCCATTGAGGCCAGGTGAAGAACAAATGTCTCAAGGGGTCCCTGTGCAACATCAGGGAGTGCTTTTTAGAACGTTGGATGCTATTCTGACGCGTTTCCAACCTTCTGCTTCTTCAACCCCTAAGATAAATGTGGCCAAGGAATTGAAAGGATTAGGAGCATTGGAATTTAAAGGTGACACTGAGGAAGGTTCTGTGGTAGCAAACCTTTGGCTGAATGATATAAAGATTATGTTGGAGGGTCTTCACTGTTCTGAAGCGGAGATGCTAGATGGAGTTGTATCGTTATTGAGAGGTCAAGCTCGAATATGGTGGACAAATGTGTCGATGAGAGCTATAAGAGATCATTTGACATGGCCATTTTTCCTGGTGAAGTTCAAGAACAAATATATTGGAGATCAATTTATTCGTCAGATGAAACAAGAGTTCATGAGCTTGAAGCAAAGAAATCGTACAATATATGAGTAAGAGTGTGAATTTAATAAGTTAAGTCTATTTGCCTCTAAGTTGGTTCCCACAGAAAAAAATTCTTGTGACTGGTTTGTGGAAGGGTTACGTCCTAGATTGAAAGAATTAATGTTAGCTTTGAATCTTTCCACATTTCAAGAAGTGGTGAATAGAGGGAAAGCTTTGGAGCAAGCTCAAAATGAAAGATTCGGGGAACAAAAGACCTAGTGGAATAATAGAAATGGCACCTCGTCTAGTGTTACCTAATCAAAGAAAAGTCGAGGTTCGGGTTTTAGACCCCAAGCAAGATGTGAGTCAACTACATCTTCGTGTAGAGGATCTAATCCGAGAAGAGCTAGACAGAATCAATTGGCAGAATCTGGAGCAGGAAGAGCAAACCAATGTCAGCATTGTGGTAAACAACATAGTGGCATCTGTAGAGTGGCTTCTGGAGCATGTTTCAGGTGTGGAGATACATGACATTTTATTCGGGACTACCCATTAATGACTAGAGAAGCTGCATCCTCTAAGAGATCTGTTGTTGTATCTCAGAGGGGCAGAGGTCAAGGTAGATGGAGGAATCAGTCTAAATTGACCAGTCAATCTGAAATTCATTCCACTGCTAGAGTATACAACCTCAAGACTAGTGAAGACCGTGATGATCCTTAGATCATTGCAAGTACTTTTCAGTTATGTGATAAACTTGTTTTGGTTTTAATTGACCTAGGATCAAGCCATTTTATATTTGTAGTGAATTGGTAAAAGAACTGAAACTTCCATTAGAAACTATAAGCAATGATGTGATAGTAACTAACCCATTGAGACATAGTTCTTGGCTAAATCAGTTGTGCCAGAGGTGTCCCATAAAGATTCAGGGAATTGAATTCCCTGCTAATCTAATGGAATTACCCATTGATGAGTTTGAGGTTATTTGGGGATAGACTGATTATATCGATATTATGCTAATGTTGATTGTCATTTGAAGTGAGTAAATTTGACAAGTCCTGAGGGATCTGAAGTGATGATATTTAGTTAAAGATTCGATCCTTTAGAAAATGTAATATCCGTGATGTCAGCCAAGAAATTGTTGATGCAAGGATGTCCAACTTTTATTGTAAATGTATTTGATGCTCGAGTTAAGGATAGAAAAATTACAAATATTCCTA